GTTATTCAAAGTCAATGAAATGCAGAGGCAATTATGTATTATCATTCCAGCTTACATTCTTAACAAGATCACCATTTGAACTTGTGAGATGGAAGTTGACTTTGTTTTACGGTTATTTGAACTTGTGAGATGGAACTTGTGAGATTCTAACAGATTATTTTTTAAAAGTTTTAGCTTTTATATCTAAGACTAATATTATTTCGTTCAGTTATAAGAGGATACGATTACTTTTTAGTCAAAGTTGTTTCGTTGAAAATATTTGATGGGTTTATATGTTTTGTTTGAGCATATTATGGGCTCAATTACAATACATTGTTATATTGCAACATATAAAGTTAATGTATTTGTTTGTAATTTTGATTTCACATGAAGAATTTGATTTTTTTATTTGAGGTTAATGTGATAAATATAGATTTCATTTGTTATATAATATATAAAGTAATTAATAGGAATATAAGTCCGGCAAAAAACCAAAATAAACTGTCTACCACCAAAGACCATTTACAACAAATGTAAACAAACGGGTAGTCATATCAAAAATCCAATAGTAGAACTAGATGTGTAATTTAGCTCTAATAATCTAATGTTCACTAAATTACTAAGTATTCAAATTCATGCAGAATAATGGTCATTAACTACACAAAATATGAAGTTTAAGCAATTAAATTAACAAGTCAATCATGCTAGGTAAACCAATCAAACACAAGACATAACCAACAAGCAAAGTCTAGTTTAATTAAATAAAACCATGAGTTCCAGCTTCATCTAGCTAACAGAAGCAACTAGATTTAGCTGGACATCCTAGCAAATAAGCAAACACACTTCATAATTAAAAGCATGTTTAAAGGTACTAAACTATGAATCGATTTATGAACTTCTTCTTCCTTGGTGTTAAAACCAACTTCCAGGCCTTCTTTCTCTCTGATTTTTGACTTCTGGAACTTCTCTAAGCCAGCCAACCTCCTTAAAGTCGTATGGATCAAGGATATATATAGTTTTGAATTTTTCCCGATTCACCTCGTGAATCCGTAAATATCCGTATTCAACACGGATTCCTGATCCGTGATGTTTATCTTCTAGAAGGCCATACTCACCTCGTGAATCTTCTAATTCTCACCTCGTGAATACGTATTTTTCTGATTTTCTTGTCCTTCAAGCCTTTAACCTCCAAAGCTCCATTCTTTAACGCTTTTAGTCCCTTTTCTTCAAAATGTCTTCTTTTTTGCTGCAAAATATAATTTAACCTTATAAGTACCATTATTATATGCAAATAACCAAAATATATATAAAAATGTACTTAAATATTGCCTAAAAATACGTATAAATATAGCAATATCAATATATATATATATATATATATATATATATATATATATAATTCTTATTGTATAGGATTTTGAGTATTAAGTAATGTATATCTTGTTTAAATAGACATTTTATCTTTTTTGAGAAATATTACGTTGCGATACACATCAAATTGTGAAATTTTAGTATTGTAAAAGGGTCAGATCTTCATTGATTCGGTGAATACATATATGAATTCGATTATTCAAAACCCTGAGGATTATTGAAATAGGATGGGTCATGTTTTTTATTTTTATTTAAAAGGTGTCCAAATTTATCCTCTCTAGTGGTTGTATAAGTTTTTGACCACATAAGTGTATTTTAAAATTTTATTTACTAAATAGATATAGTTTTAAAAACAATTACCAAATACTCAAATAGGTATAGTTTGAAACATTTATATATATATTTTTTAAACTTTCAGTTTTGTTCTATATTTACTGTTTTAATATATATATATATATATATATATATATATATATATATATATATATATATAGAGGAGCGTTCAATTGACAAAATAAAAATGTTGAGAATGGGGGAACCATTCTCAACCAATCATTTAATGAGCTTAAAAAAAGCGCGGTGGCAAACTTATAAATAATCAAAACACATTAATAAGGGGTGGCAAATTTGTAAATAACCCAAAAACATTAAACTGTTAGGGCACTTCAGTAATATCACCATACGTCAAATCTCAACAGAAACACATCATTCCCTCTTCGATACCCCATAACACGAAAACCATTTTCAGAAACATCGATAAGAAAAAAAACCATTTGAAGAAGCATCGATAAAAAGAGAACCATTTGCAGAAGAAAAATGTCTTCGGATGAAAACATGAACAAGACCATTTCATCACTCTTGACAATGAAAGGTATCAGCGTTTTTTCTCCAATTTTTAACGATTTCTAATCATTTCTAAAAATTATCACTTCATTACTTGAAATTTTTCGTAATCTTCGTTCATTATTACTTGATTTAGAACTAAAAATATTGTTTTCACACTGTTCATTCTTCAAAAATAGGTTGTTTACTTCAATTTTTTTTGTGATAATCGTTCATTCTCGTAACCCTCATTCGTTATTACTTGATTTACTTGAAATTTTTGTAAGAATCATCCATTATTATTTGATATAGAAACGATTTTACATCATCTCTTCATTTTTCATACTTATTCAAAACTATTCTGTCAAAATATAACCGTTACTTCACATTTCGCTTATTTTTCCCTAATATTAACTACTTACACTTACAGAAACAACACCAAAAGTGAAGCATACATATAAACGAAAAACAAGAAAAAATCAAAAAGGTAGATCTGATTAACTTATATGAGATTTCACTTAAAAACACAACAAAAAATGAACATACTGAAGATAATTTTGTTTTGATATGTTTTGTTTACTTCTGAACACAAGCAAAACTAATATTCAAATGCGAATACAACAAAAATGACTTATATATGTTCTATTCACATATGAATATAACAAAACATATTGATATGTGAATAAAAAAATGTGAATATATATGTTTTATTCAAATATTCATTTGTGAATATGTTTTGTTATATTCACATATGAATAGAACACAACTTCCTGTCATACATACATTATTCAAATGTGAATACAACAAAAATGACTTATATATGCTCTATTCACATATGAATATAACAAAACATATTTATATGTGAACAAAAATGTGAATATATATGTTTTATTCAAATATTCATTTCTGAATATGTTTTGTTATATTCACATATGAATAGAACATAACTAGCTGTCATACATACATTATTCAAATGTGAATACAACAAAATGACTTATATATGTTCTATTCACATATGAATATAACAAAACATATTGATATGTGAATAAAAAAATGTGAATATATATTTTTTATTCAAATATTCATTTCTGAACATGTATGTTATATTCACATATGAATAGAACGTAACTTGCTGTCATACATACATTATTCAAATGTGAATACAACAAAAATGACTTATATATGTTTTATTCATATATGAATATAACAAAACATATTCATATGTGAATAAAAAAATGTGAATATATATATATATATATATATATATATATATATATATATATATATGTGTGTGTGTGTGTGTGTGTGTGTTTTATTCAAATATTCATTTCTGAATATGTTTTGTTATATTCACATATGAATAGAACACAACTTCCTATCATACATACATTATTCAAATGTGAATACAACAAAAATGACTTATATATGCTCTATTCACATATGAATATAACAAAACATATTGATATGTGAATAAAAAAATGTGAATATATATGTTTTATTCAAATATTCATTTTTGAATATGTTTTGTTCTATTCACATATGAATAGAACAAAACATATTGATATGTGAATAAAAAAATGTGAATATATATGTTTTATTCAAATATTCATTTCTGAACATGTATGGTATATTCACATATGAATAGAACATAACTTGTTGTCATACATACATTATTCAAATGTGAATACAACAAAAATGATTTATATATGTTCTATTCACATATGAATATAACAAAACATATTGATATGTGCATAAAAAAATGTGAATATATATGTTTTATTCAAATATTCATTTGTGAATATGTTTTCTTATATTCACATATGAATATAACATAACTTGCTGTCATACATACATTATTCAAATGTGAATACAACAAAAATGACTTATATATGTTCTATTCACATATAAATATAACAAAAAGTATTCATATGTCAATAAAAAAATGTGAATATATATGTTTTATTCAAATATTCATTTCTAAACATGTATGTTATATTCACATATGAATAGAACATAACTAGCTGTCATACATACATTATTCAAATGTGAATACAACAAAAATGACTTATATATGTTCTATTCATATATGAATATAACAAAACATATTCATATGTAAATAAAAAAAATATGAATATATATGTTTTATTCTAATATTCATTTGTGAATATCAAACTCATTTATCTTCTACTTACTATTGAATGAAGGTAAGAACACTAACATTTCCGATAAAGATTCACCAACAATGAGAGAAACAAGATCAATGCACAAAAATAAAAAAGGTATAAAATACATATCATAGCTTTTAAATGAATATTATATATTCGTTTATGAATATAATATATTTTATTTGTAAAATGTATTTCAAAATTATTAATCTTCTACTCACTAATTCATGAAGGTAAGAAGATTTGTACTTCTGATAAAGACCCAACAACAATGATAGAAACATATTTGAAGAGGAAAAATGCGAAAGGTACAAAATTCCTATCATATCTAATATATTCATATATGAATAAAATTGTATATCTTAATTATATTTTTGTAATAAATAAATATTAATAAATCAACGAGCATATATCATATTCATATATCAATAACTTATTCAAATATTATATGTTTTCATTTCCCATATAAAAAAGAAACAAAAACACCAAAGAAAATAAAGCATAAAAGCAGAAAAAGTTCATCAAAAAGGAAAACTCCTGAAAAACGAGAACTACATGATTCAGACTCTGATTTTAAAAGTAGTCGTCCATCAAAAAAGGCAAAAAAAAGGAGTCACCAATCAAGAAAGACAAAAAAAACCAGTGGTAAAGGAATTTTACTCAATGAAAAACAGATGTTCACCAGAGTCATTACTATCTATAATCCTTGGGTTGAGCAAAGAACAAAAAGAATGTGTAAGATCTATGGGTTTTGGAGCTTTATTAAAAATGAAAATCACAGATATACCACTGAAGCTGGGATTTTATGTTCTTCAAAAATTTGATTCTGAGAGAATGGTGATAGATATTGAAGGAAAGGAACTGAAAGTAACAGCAGAGTCTGTTCATGACATGTTGGGCATACCAATTGGTGGAACCATACTTACACAACTGGATCAATGGCCTAAGTGTGACAACTCGAATTTCTATCTGGTACAACCATTCACCTCATTAGAAGTCAGATTTGTTTTTGCTAACTTTTAAGCTGTTTGGAGTCATTTTGAGTGTTCTAAAGCTTAATACTTCAAGAGGAAATTATACGAAGTATACTTTAGAGTTTGTTGTGCATCATTTATGTCTCAAAACTCCAAGAGTTTGGAGTTTACGGCCCCAAACACGGAGTTTACGGTCGTAAACTCTAAAGAGTATAAATATGACACTTAGTCATTTTTGGCTCATTCTTCACCTTCCTAGCTCAAGAACACCCACATTCTCTCTCAAGTATCATAAGATCTTCTTCCAAAATTTCCAAAAATGTAAGTGTTTCTTCTCTTGATTTGTTGATACAACACTTCATCTAGTAGTTATACATGATTTCATCCATGAAATCTTCTCCTTTTCATAGATCTTCAAGTGTTCTTCATTTCACCAAGAACACCAAGAACACACACTAGTGTTTTTGGACCCTAAACACTCTTACAAGCTTCCTATAAGTAAGTACACTCCTCCTAACTAGTTATTTACTTAGAATGCTAGTTAAACCATTGAAAAACATCAAGAATACCCAAGAACACATGGGTTTACGGCCAAGGCAATCTTCTTGGACCGTAAACACCATAAGGTGGTGCATATGTGCCACCATTACCTTCTAAGGCTTGGATATTGGACTAGAACCTTGCATGCATGAGCTAAGGACCTTAAACCACGAAATGGTAGGAGTTACCATGGGTTTACGTCCGTAAACCCACTAGGACCTTAAACCCTAAACCGTAAACTCCATGGGAGTTGGTCCATAAACCGTAAACCCTAATAAGGGGGCCATTATGAGCCCTAGTCCCTTCTAAAGCATTGGAACCAAGTCTAGATCACATCTTTGAGGAGTATAGCACCTTAAACAAGCAAAAGAAGCAAGCACACATGAGTTTACGGCCGTAAACTCATAGGGTTATGACCATGGGGCCGTAAACTCTAAAAGTTGGTGCAAAATTGTGCCACTATTACTTCCTAAGGCTTGGACTTGATCATAGGATGCTTAACCTTGACTTGTAAGACCCTAAAACACACAATGGTACTAATTACCATGAGTTTACGGCCGTAAACTCATGGGGGAAATGACCATAAACCGTAAACTCATGTGGTGTTACCATATGGGCAGTAAACTCCAATGTGAGGCCATACTCTCTTTAGATGCAACCCCTTGATACTCCTAGCACTTGAATCAAAGTGTTATCCATGTTTTAGGGTGTCCTTACTTGATTAATTAGTTGTTAAATGACTAATTAGATACATATATGTGTCATTACATGTTAAATAGGATCCGTGTGTGTGTTCAAGTCTTCACTTGACACTTAGCATCCTGTCCGGCACTTCCATCCAAACCACTCACTACAGGTGAGTTCATACCCCTTAATCAACCTTTGAAATGATTTTAAATGCTTTTATGGGGGGGATACAAGTTGAACTATTAAGTTATTATATCAATCACATGTGATTAATAACTGTCAATCAAATAGATTTTTGCATGTTAAACTGTTTTATTCAGCTAAAGGTTTTCATATATTACTTTCAAATCTCTTTTAAAGTACTACAATCTCTTTTTAAATTACTAAACTTTTATCAAAGTCTTTTAAACTTATATTCTTGTTAGATTCATGTCCATATAGATATAGTTATATAAGTAGGGTTTGAAGGACTTAGGACTGATAGCCCGCTTTATTTCCTGTTCCTTGTTTGGTTGTGGACTTAGAGTATCCGGTTATTTGTCCGAGTGTCGTTGAAGTCCTAGTTATATATTATGTATATTTGTTTAGATATTAAAACTCTTACTCCAGTTCAGCGCCTTTGGGGTAGCAAAGGTGTTGGATAAGGTGTCTAAGTTCATAACTATTTCTGGTATGTACTTGACCCGACCCGGCATGGTCCATTTGGGTTGCATGGCACCATGCAATTGGATAAACTAAAATGAGAGAAATAACACTTATGGTTTATTAATATATTATAAGTTCTAATATATTAATAATATTATTTAATTATTTTGATCAAGAATTAATTAAGTGATCAAAAGATAACTAATTAAATATATGGGTAGATTATGTAAATCTTTCATATCTTATATAGTGGGCTAAGAGGCTCCATGGATTATCAAGTTGGGTTCCACCCATAGAATGCTCCATGGAGTTAACCCATGGATCATGAAATGAAGAGTCATGTTACATTAGGGTTTACCTAATGCAACACACTATATAAACAAATGTGTTCTCCCCAAAATCGGTGACACATAAGAAACAAGAGGGCTAGGCCGATTTTAGAAGTGTGTATTCTCTCTAAAGTCATTCCAAAAGCATTTGGTGTTGTGTGAAGCATTTGAGGCATCACACTTGGGGTGCTAGGCTCACAAGGTTTCAAGGATCATAAGCAACAACAAGGTAAGTTATTCTATCTTTCATGCAAGTTAAAATTTGTTCCCCATGTATGCTAGATAGGAATATAACCTTGGAATTCAACTTTGCATGATAATTAGACAAACATAGATCCAAGGTTATTAGGATTGCATGTACACTTAGGAAGTGTTAGAATGCTCAAAACCCATCAGTGGTATCAGAGCCAGGTTCGTTTGTTTTTTTTTTTGTGTGCAAACAGCTTGAAAAAAATCGTTTTTCTGTTTTCTGCTCGTATGAAAGTTTGCACATTTGTTGCTGGAAATGGACTAGAAACATTACCCTAAACTGTTTTGATGTTTTAAAGCTTGTTTTAGATGGTGTAATGTTTATGCTAGTCCATTTACAATGGCAATTATTAAAATTACAAGTTTTTTTTAAGTGTAATTTTTGATTCTTGAAAGTGTTCATATTCATGTTCTTGAACTTATGAAGATTAGATGATCATAGGAATTGTTTGTAACCTTCATGGTAGTTTAATTCATGATCATAATGTGTTTTAATGGAGTCCATACCTTGTCCTCAAGTTATGGAAAACCAAAAGTCTCACTTTTATTAAAGCCATTAAAAGAACACAAGAGTTATAAAATGAAGAGTCTTCATTTTTATTACTCAATTAATTCATAAGTTATAAGAAATGAAAAGTTTTGGAAGTTTAAAAAACTTGCCCTCAAGTTTTGGAACATGTAAAGTCTTGATTAAAACTTTAGTTCCAACCCTTAGAATTTTAAAAGTTAAAATTCAACCCTTATACTTTATAATATTATAAGTTACTAATATATATATGTATAACGTCAAGTCGTCTTACCGCTAGTACGCCTCATTCACGAAGCCGGTCTATAAGGGGGGTATAAGGTTGTTGCCTATAAAATGGCAACTTAATGGGTGTCCACTCTCACCCACCGCTTCCTTGATCGGTGGAGGGTCGTTAGCCGAACGGGTAAGACAAGGACTTATAAATTCTCATTAAAAGTATGATGAATATTATAAAGTAACTAAATGCTTTTATTAAATTCCCAATCTTAGTTACTTTAAGAAAATGTGAATAAGGTGCTAATCCATGAAATTACACTTTACACTTTGTTTAAGTCGTTGGTGGAGCGTGTGTGGTTAACCGGCACACTAACTTGGACTTAACAAGGTAGGTAAAGGGTGACTTAAGGTTTACCATAGCATCGGTGGAGCGTGTGTGGTTTACCGGCACATCGATTGAGTGATAAATCTTGAGGGTACCAAGTGATTTGCATGGTTACTTCACACCTCGTTTTGTGATCCTCGGTATCCCAGTCACAAAACTTGGAGGGCACACTCGAGATTGAAACATGCCTTTGAAAAGTTCATTGAATCTCAAAAGAATCTAGGAATTTCTAAGAACCAATTAAAAACCTAATATTTATATTTTCGTTTTTCATGGTGGAAATTGGTGAATCGTCATTCACCTACCTTTCAAATATGTTATAGCTTGGATTACGGCATACCTCTTCTAAGTTATAATATATTGTGATTGGATCCTAGCCTTAATATTACATTTGGGTGTTTTATTAAGGACTCTCTTAATATCTAAACTAATCTTGTTATAGCTTGGATTACAGCATACCTCTTCTAAGGCAATCTCCTTGGACCGTAAACACCATAAGGTGGTGCATATGTGCCACCATTACCTTCTAGGGCTTGGATATTGGACTAGAACCTTGCATTCATGAGCTAAGGACCTTAAACCACGAAATGGTAGGAGTTACCATGGGTTTACGGCCGTAAACCCACTAGGACCGTAAACCCTAAACCGTAAACTCCATAGGAGTTGGTCCATGAACCGTAAACCCTAATAAGGGGGCCATTATGAGCCCTAGTCCCTTCTAAAGCATTGGAACCAAGTCTAGATCACTTATTTGAGGAGTATAGCACCTTAAACAAGCAAAAGAAGCAAGCACACACGAGTTTACGGCCGTAAACTCATGGGGTTATGACCATGGGCCGTAAACTCTAAAAGTTGGTGCAAATTGTGCCACTATTACTTCCTAAGGCTTGGACTTGATCATAGGATGCTTAACCTTGACTTGTAAGACCCTAAAACACACAATGGTACTAATTACCATGAGTTTACGGCCGTAAACTCATGGGGGAAATGACCATAAACCGTAAACTCATGTGGTGTTACCATATGGGCAGTAAACTCCAATGTGAGGCCATACTCTCTTTAGATGCAACCCCTTGATACTCCTAGCACTTGAATCAAAGTGTTATCCATGTTTTAGGGTGTCCTTACTTGATTAATTAGTTGTTAAATGACTAATTAGATACATATATGTGTCATTACATGTTAAATAGGATCCGTGTGTGTGTTCAAGTCTTCACTTGACACTTAGCATCCTGTCCGGCACTTCCATCCAAACCACTCACTACAGGTGAGTTCATACCCCTTAATCAACCTTTGAAATGATTTTAAATGCTTTTATGGGGGGATACAAGTTGAACTATTAAGTTATTATATCAATCACATGTGATTAATAACTGTCAATCAAATAGATTTTTGCATGTTAAACTGTTTTATTCAGCTAAAGGTTTTCATATATTACTTTCAAATCTCTTTTAAAGTACTATAATCTCTTTTTAAATTACTAAACTTTTATCAAAGTCTTTTAAACTTGTATTCTTGTTAGATTCATGTCCATATAGATATAGTTATATAAGTAGGGTTTGAAGGACTTAGGACTGATAGCCCGCTTTATTTCCTGTTCCTTGTTTGGTTGTGGACTTAGAGTATCCGGTTATTTGTCCGAGTGTCGTTGAAGTCCTAGTTATATATTATGTATACCTGTTTAGATATTAAAACTCTTACTCCAGTTCAGCGCCTTTGGGTAGCAAAGGTACCTAGATAACCTCTCAAGTAAACTATAACATGTATAGTTTAGAAATCAACAATAACTTTTATGAGGAGAAACTAGCTATATCAATATTCTAAAACATGTACTTTTAGTAAAAAGAAACGTATATAGCAATCAAAACACGAGATACATCCTCACGACGTGGATTTCACCGTTGTCGAGTTGGTAACCAGAGTCTCCTGGAGGGAGAGCGGGCATTGTGTGTATAGATCTATACGGGACAGACCATCCCACATCCTGACTGCTAGCTACAGTCCCGACCGACCAAGCCAAGGGGTGACAAATGTCACATTTACTTCGGCGCTAGTAGGTCGTCGTGTTTACATCCGTCAATCAGTATGGTTACGAGTATTTCCACATTTACCTTATAATTCATGGCCTTAAGGTAAGTAGTACCACGGTAGTTCTACATATAAAACTAAGGTACTATAATATTTTCCCTAATACATTAACTTAGAACATTTTGATATAAAACGATAATGTAAAACTTTATTATGATAATGATAGTAACATTTGGGAAAAATGCTCTTTTAACATAAAACAGTCGGGTCTTGGTAGAAGACTGCTTTTAGTAAAGAAACTCATCCTCCTTAAACATAAAACAGTCAAGTCTTGGTAGAAGACTGCTTTTAGTAAAAAAACTCATTCTCTTTAAACATAAAACAGTCAAGACTTGGTAGAAGACTGCTTTTAGTAAAGAAACTCATTCTTTTAAAACATGAAACAGTCGAGTCTTGGTAGAAGACTGCTTTTAATAGAAAATATAGGATTTTCTGGAGGGAATTCAAATACTCTGTAAACTTTTATCACCATCATCTAATGAGATTATTTTGAGGAAAAACATGTATGTATATCAATGTCATTAAAATACTTATGAACTCACCAACATTAAAATGTTGATCCTCTCTTTCAAAATAACTTGTATTCTCAGGTCGCCAGTAGATAGGTACACTCCGGGAGCTTTTGCGAAGTTAGCCTTGTATCGAGCTGCACCTTATGTTATTCTCTATATCTACTTTTGATGTTGTTGCTAAATATAACCTATGTAAAAACTTATACTATTAATGCAATGGTTGTTGTACTTTGATTACTATACTGCATGTGTTGTGATACTTGACATGACGTCCTCCACCCCAGAACGTTTCCGCCGTTCCGGTTTTGGGGTGTGACACTAAGGATGATACAAGTTATGGTGAATGGAAGCAACAATTTAAAAAAGATTCAATCCTCCGACTGAGTGCAATCAAAAATGTTATTGTTTCTACCACACAAGCTAATTTCAACTTCCAATTGAACTTCTTAGTTTTTTTTGTCAACACGTTTTGCGAGTCAACATCAATGGGAAGATGCAACCTGTTTCCTTTGAGTTATATTTCAAGAAAAACAGATATCAGCAACATAGACTGGTGCAGCTATGTTTTGGACTGTCTTGTCAGAACAAAGAACTCATACATACCATACTCAGATACCAGCTTCTTTGTTGGACCTTCAGCTTTCTAGGTGGTAAGTTATTATATTGTTTATACTCAATTTTTAATAATATTTATTATTCATAAACTAATAGCACATATTCATATATGAATAATAAAAATATACTTCTTCACACGTTATGCTTTACATTACTTATTAATATATGAATAAGTAAAAACTAATATTTACTTGTTCATATATGAATATCAATTAGTTATCATTTATGTGCAGTTGTTCTATGCTGATAACATCCGCTCAGAAGCTTTAACGGTAACACGTAAACGTCCAACATTTGTTATTGGAGTTCAGAGAAGATTAGACATCGAGAGACATTTGAACAAGAAAAAGGTAGATTTGGACTTGGAGAATTAAATGAAGAATTTGTTAATGAACAGGATGAAGGAGAGACAGATCTCGAAGACAGTGATTCTGATAAAGACGAAGATCATTATGTTGAGGTAATTAGTTTGAACATGTTAATAATATATGATTACATTAAATTCTAATCATACTTCTTTTTATTACATAGGCATATGAATAAAAAATATCTAAAATGCTTAATAGTTCTGAGAGGATGAAGGAAAAGCTGAATTCAAAGCTCAATGATGCGATAACAAAGTTCCCTGAAAAGGAAAGTTTTAGGATTTTCAAAGAAAAGATGACAAATACAATTGTTGAAGAAAAATCTGAAAGCACAACACTTTTTGAATTTCCAAGTAATGAAACTGGAGTTGAAGGTATCAATTTGACACCAATAATGGGTCAAAAAACAAATGATCAAAAAGAAAATGAGGATGATGAAGGAAATCGAGAAGAAGAAAATGATAATGATGGAAGTCAACCGGAAGTGGATTACTTGCTTGATTCAAATGAAGTAGAGAATGAAGGGATAAAGAATGATGGAGATAAGAATAAAAAAGAAGGTGAAACTGAAGTAAAAGAGAAAAATGGAAAGAACAATGAAAATGACAATGATGAAGAGAAAAAAGATCAATGCTGAAGAAACAAATAATCATGAAGAGACTATTTAACAAACTGAAAATGAAAATTTGTTGGATAAAGTTGTTGACAACATTGTGGATAATGTCCTTGGAGTTGGAAATTCAAGTTTAAATAGTCAAGAAGATGAAATTTGGAATGACCCTGAAATGAAAACTATTTTGGATAAAATTGATATAGGTAAATTTTGGCTTACTTTTATTTTAAAAAAATATATAAAAATATTAATAAACAATAACAATTTTGTTTATTAAATTTTGACCAGGGTCACCAATGAGTAGAAGTAAAAGTAATACTCTTGCAGAAAAGGAAAAATCAAAAGGTGTACATGAAGAAGGAAAAGAAGTTGAAAAACACGGAGATGATACAGGTAAATGAATTATTTAAAATATATTACAATATTTATATTGATTTTTTTAATAACATTGTTTATTCATAAGTGAATAATACACTATATAAATGAGTAAAAAATAAAAAATATTCATATATGATGTATATGTTTCAGGCAAGGAAAACTCTGAATATACAAATAAACAATGAGCAGAAGCTAAGAACACGAAAGATGGAGGTGAAAATAAACAAACAGAAATTGAGAAAAGAATTGCAGAAAGATAAAGGTAAATAGTTGAATCACTAATAAATGAATATAATAAATTTTATTATTCACAAATAAATAACACAATATACAAAAAAATAAAAAAATATAATATTACTTATTCATAAATAATGATATGCATTACTTATTCATAAATGAATACATTACTTATTCACAAATGGATAACTTAATCAAATTTCTTTATCTTTCAGGAAAGAAAAAGTCAGAAAATGAAAACAATGAACGACAAAAAGTTGACAAAACAAAAGGGAATGAAGGAGGTAACAATTTGGAAAAACATTTCAAAATATAAAAATAATATTATAATTAACTTACAACTATTTACATGATAAATCTTCTGGCATGCAGATACTCATCCAAGTTTTAGTCTAGGTCTCAGTTAAGATTCAGATCAAACTTCAAGTAAAAAATCTAATGAATCTTCACCAAAAACCACTTACAAAGAAACAAATCAAAGACCACAATTAGAAAGTTGTTATCATATTAGCAAACAAAAACGTTCTTAATCCAAAACCAATCTCTGTAGCAATTCCTACTGAAGTAGAACCATCAAAGCATGATCTGGATGAACCAAGAGATAAGAAGCTTGCCGATGCTATCAAATCACCTTTCAAATGCAGAATAATAGACACAAAACCTAAACTGACACATCAGGAGAGTATTGTCTGTGAGTGGTTGTTCAACTTGCAAGGGAATACATCGTAAGTTACTTTATTTTTATAGACATTCCTATATGATTATTATATAGATAATAATGTATGACATTTTGATTATATATTTGCAAAGATGTGGTTGTCCAGACAAAATATGGTCAGGTAACAGAAAGAGCAGTTATGGAAAGTCTATATGCAAGCATAGTGATTTTTGGAAAAGTTTTAGACACTTGGGCTGATTTACTTAACCACCAAGAACTGGAAAGGGATTTTGGAAATTCACCATACAGACTCTTCTTGAAAGTTGCAGTTTCTGTAAGTTTATGTTCTAACCTTAATTTCTTCTTTATTGATAAATGAATACACCAATATGATGTATTCATTTATGAATATTATATTTTTTTACAACTGAAATTCACATATGATTATACCAACATGATGTATTCTTTAATATAATTATGTATATTCAATTGAAATTCACATATCATTATGTATTCATCTTTGAATAAAAAAATCAAAAATAAATATATTTAGTATATACTTATGATTATTATACCAACATGATGTATTCATTTATGATTAACAATTTACTAATTCTTTAAAATTATATTGGTTACAGACTGCTTATCTAACTTTAACATTGTCTAATGAAAGAAAGTATGAAAAATTCAAGGAGAACTTTCATGACAGTACCGATGGGTACAAAAAAATCTTGAACATAAAAGATATTGACATGGTATGTTAATTAAACTTGTTTTTTTATATATATTTTATCAACAAAATACTTACCATTATATACCTAAAAACAGGTATTCTTTCCAGTTGTTAGAAGTGCTCACATTTTTGTGATTGTCTTCAACTTAAAGAAACCATCAATTGAAATTCTGTACAACAGTGCAGTTTAGGGGGATTATGAAGGGAAATACAGAGTACTATTGAAACCTTTGGTATGTACCGAATTCACAACAACATAAAAGAACCAATTTATTACATATCTAACTTTTATTTTATTTAATGATCATAAAAATTTGTTTGTGAGATACTTTAAAGAAATAAACCATCCAAGAGCAAATGCAATCTCAAAAGAAAGTATCACACCCCAACGACTTGAAATGACATGGAGAACAGTTAAAAACAAAGTTGATTGTGGGGTCTTTGCAATGAGACATATGGAGACCTATATGGGACAACCACTCTCAAAGTGGAAACCAAGTCTTCATAAAGAAAGTGCAGTTCAACAAACTACTTTAGAGAAGCTCAGGCAAAGGTATGCACACTGAATGCTAACTTCTGAAATTAACATGTTGAAGGCTAATGTGTTGGATCTTGCTGAAAAATATCAAAAAGTTGAATTCAAAGTGCGTACTGATCATGCATATAAGGCTATGCAAACAATTCAAAAAAGGTTAAAAGAATATTGATGATTGCTTGTGATGAAGTGTGATGCTATAGAACAGTTTGTGTTGAAGATGAATGAATTTGAAGTACAAGTTTTAGATGGTTTGTTAAATGTTATTGAACATCGTGTAAATAGTTTGTGAAATGCTTATGAACATGTTTTATAATCTTGTGATGAATGATTATGTAATAGAAACAAGTTTGCTTATTTCTGTCATTTTTTTATATTCAAATATTTTCAAAGTTTATTTCTTCTTATTCATAAATGAATACGAATATGATATATTCATTTATGATTAAGTTAGTAGTAATATGTCAGTATAACAAATTTCATATATGAATATAACAAATTTTAGATATGAATATAACTTATTTATTAGTAGAAACAAGTTAGCTTATTTCTGTCATTTTTTTATATTCAAATATTTTCCAAATTTATTTCTGTTTATTCATAAACGAATACGAATATGATATATTCATTGATGATTATATTCAAAGTAATATGTTAGTATAACAAAATTCAGATATTAACATAAAAAAGTTCACATATGAATATAACTTATTCTTAGTATAACAATTTCAATATTTATATTCATTTATATTAGTTTACATACAACTTCAACATCTGTCTTGATTTTCAATACCGCGGATGTATAATCACTCTCACTCTCAAATTCCTTCAACATCATCTGTTGTTTCTCATCAAACAAAGTGAATTTCTTTTTCTCATCTTACATATTTGTATTCATTTATGAATATAACTTATTTATTACTATACGAATATAACAAACTTCATATATCAATATACATATTTGTATTCATTTATGGTATATACATTTCTCAATTTTATTTTAGTTTAATCATAATTGAACACAAACATGTTATATTCATTACCTTTAATATGTAACTAATAACATCTTCAATGATAAATGAATCCACAATTATTGATATGGTATTATTCATTTATGAATAATTTACCATATCAATATAACTTATTTTATAGTAATTTAAAAAACAAATATCAACATATCAATTTACCGTATCAATATAAATGTGTATTATTCATACATGAATATTATTGTTTATTGTTTTTATCTGCATATATTCATAAATGAATAAAACAAAAAAAATAAATAAATAAAAAACTAAAAAATCCCTAACTGTCTTTTGCTGCTTTAGCAGCTCCAACTCTTTATGGACAAGTACCTAAATTGTGTGGAACTCGTTTTCCACATCCTAAACACATTCTATTCTTTTTAGAATTTTCATATGCTACTTCACCTGCACTGGAATTTTTTTCTTGATTCCAGAACCTTTATTGCTTTGAACTTCAGGAACATGAATATTAATCTCTTCTGGAATAGGAATAGTAACACCCCAAAGGCTTCCATAGACTTCACCCATCTGTCTTGCTTTCAATCCAGCAGATATATAATCACTGTCAAATTCCTTCACAAACATTTGTTGTTTTCTCAGCAAACAAAATCAATTTCTTTTGTCGTCTTTACAATATCAAAAAATGCTGATCAAACTATAATATGAATCACTCACTAGCTTTACATTCTCACAATCACTTGAATCGAATTGAAGAGAACTAAAACGATAATTTCTTGATATCACATCTGTGACATCCCCAATTTCACGGCCAGAAAAGACCGATTTCGTTTATGCTTTTTAAAATAAAATCAGAGTAATCCATTTAAAAGATGTTGCAGAATTTGTTCCAAAACCAAAACATGATAAAAAGTTTATCAAAACTTTTCTTTAAGAAATATATATTTCATTTTTATATCAAAAACCGGGATGTCATGTTCCGATACATATCAAAAGCATAAACAAGACATTATAAGCCTTACAACGGTTATTACAACTATGGCCTATAATCCAAAAATTCTCTCATCATCATCCGACTATGCTCGGGGTCCACTACCTGTAAGATAAAAAGGCTGAGTGGGTCAGGATTGGGAGCCTGGTGAGCATATAGGGTTTTCAACCCACAATAAATAATAAACTTTTTAAGTTCATCAATCAACAAATAATTTATTAATTTCATCAACCAAAATAACCCTAATTACCCATCCTGTATCCTCACCTTACGTCCCTAAAACAACACTTCACTAGGGACCTAGCCTAAGGATTTTCATTAGGGGGACAACATTGCTTCGGGGGTTCCTCAGCAATTTATGTCAAATAAGGCAACCATCGGGGTGACAACACTGCTTTCCTCAGCAATTTATGTCAAATAAGACAACCAATGGGGTGACAACATTGCTTTCCTCAGCACTTTATGTCAAACAAGACAACCAATAAGGTGACAACATTGCTTTCCTTAGC